CTCTGCCCTGGCTGGGGAGAGCCCCTGCCGCAGATCGCAGTTACACCCCCCTTGAGACCCGGTCCCCGTCACCGCCTCCCAACAAGAAACAAGTTTTTGGCAGGGAGCAGAATGCTTCCCAAGAAACAGCACCTATCCAGGGAAAGCTAGGGAACACCGAGTGAGGGCGGGGGGAAGTAAACAAAGCCTGGGAACCCATCGGCTACGTCTAGACTGGCATGATTTTCCGCAAATGCTTTTACTGGAAAAGTTTTCCGTTAAAAGCATTTGCGGAAGAGCACGTCTAGCTTGGCAGGGGCGCTTTTCTGCAAAAGCACTTTTGGCGGAAAAGCATCCATGCCAATCTAGACACGGTTTTGCGCAAGAAAGCCCCGATCGCCATTTTTTGCGCAAAACAAATCTGAGCTGTCTACACTGGCGCTTTTGCGCAAAAGGACTTTTGCCCGAACGGGAGCAGCATAGTATTTCCGCAAGAAGCACTGATTTCTTACATGAGATCGTCAGTGTTCTTGCGGAAATTCAAGTGGCCAGTGTAGACAGCTGGCAAGTGCTTTTGCGGTAAAACTTGCCAGTCTAGACACAGCCATCCTGTTTACAGGTGCTAACCTCAGCTCTTCCGGCTATCACCTTTTGGACCAGTGGTCCCCAACCTTTTGGGGCTGCCAGGCGCCCACGGGCGGGTCACTCACGCGCTGGACACCCGGGGGCAGGGCCGCACACATGCCCGGGGCTGAGGCCACCCATACGCCACGTGCACGGTGCCATCCATGCGCTGCATTCCCAGGGCCGCTGCTGCTCTGTGCCGCACGCCCAGGGGTGGGGCTGCCCATACGCCATGCGCCTGGGGCCGGCGCCGCTCCTCTGCCGTGCACCCAGGAGCGGGGCCGCCCGAACGCCACGCACCCGGGGCTGGAACAGCCCATGCGCTGTATGCCTGGGGCTGGTGCCACTCCTGTGCCATATGCCCAGGGGTGGGAACGTCCATACACCGCGCGCCCGGGGCCGGCACAGCCCTTGCGCCGTGCACCCAAGGGCAGGGCAGCCCATACGCTGCTGAAAATAGCACCCCCACCAAAAATAGCAGCAAAACTTGAGGGGAAAAAAAAGGAACTGACCGGGGACAAAAAACAAAAATAGCAGGAAAACTTGGGAGAGGGGTATTGATGGGAGGGGGGGCGGCTGGGTCGCCTCACGCCCCCCAGTTTGGGAACCCATGGCCTAGAGGTTCAGGGTGAGATTACAAAAACGAGGCTCATCTCTTGCACAGGCAGCAACCTGTGAAATTGTGTGAAATGAAGATAGGACTTCACAAAACCTACCCACATGACTAGCCTCCTGTGGTGGCAGGCTCAGCAGTAATGAGTTTTGGGGCCAGAAATGTAGGAATTGTTTCAGAAACAATTCCTACATTTATGGCAGGGGGGCGCAGTAAACTGTAACGGGTAAGCCTCACCCATTAAGAATGAGGCTTACCAGTTAACCTGTTACAGTACAGCTTTGTATCCCTAGTTTGTATACATGTATAACACTGCCCTCTGCTGTTATATGTTTCAAACCTCCCTGTGTTTAAACGTACAGGCTACATCTAGACTACATCCCTTTTTCGTAAATCTCCCCCGCTTCATTAGCATAAAAATGGCTGCCGCTTTTTTTCTGCACGGAGCTTTGCCGGAGAAAAGCGCCAGTCTAGACGCTGATCTTGCGGAAAATAAAGCCTTTTCCGAAAGATCCCTTATCCCAATGGTGTCGTATGTGTGCATTTGGTGGAAGGAACTCCTGGCCCTCAGAGATAGCATATGGGCTTCGGAAACCAGCGTGGCTGAACTGGAGGCACTAAGGGAGGCAGAGAGGTACGTAAATTAGGCTTTCTGGGACACTGTAGAATTGTCCCACCTCAGGTTAGACAGCCCCTGTGCTGTTAAGGAGGATGAAAGGCTCAGGAAAGGTGAGCAGTCAATGGGAGCATAAAGAAACCTTCCCATAGCTGGGACCCTCGTTCCAGATGACGTTGGGGTATCCTCTCACACTGAGGTTACTTCTCCAGGGGAGGGACCTCCAGTCATTAGGAAAAGGCAGGTGTTAGTAGTGGGAGATTTGATCATTAGAAACATAGAAAGCTGGATTTGCAATGACTGAGGGAACCATATGGTGACTTGCCTGCCTGGTGTGAAGGTTGCAGATCTCTCTAGGCATCGAGATAGACTTATATGTAGTGCTCGGGAGGAGCTGGTGGTCATGGTACATGTAGGTACCAATGACATAGGAAAGGCTAGGAGAGATGTCCAGGAGGCCAAATTTAGGCAGCTAGGAAAGAGACTGAAATCCAGGACTTCTATGGTGGCATTCTCAGAAATGCTTTCAGTTCCACACACAGGGCCAGGTAGGCAGGCAGAGCTTCAGAGTCTCAATGCATGGACGAGACAATGGTGTAGGGAGGAGGGGTTTACATTTATAAGGAACTGAGGAAACTTTTGTGATAGGGTGAGGCTATACAGGAAAGATGGACTCCACCTAAACCAAAGTGGATCCCGACTGCTGGCACTTAACATTAAAAAGGTCGCAGAGCATTAAAAAGGTTGCGGAGCAGTTTTTAAACTAAGAGATGGGGGAAAGCCAGTTGGTGAAGAGAAGCACGTGGATCGGACAGAGACTTCTCTTAGAGGAGAGTCTATTGATAGAGATTCTCTAGGTTTTAGTCAGGAGGAGAGGAGAGAAGAGGATAAAGTATGGACCAGATCAGACGATAAACATTAACATAAAAAGGAATCTGACACATCAGAAAAGGGCAGACAAATAAACAGTGACAAGTTTTTGAAGTGCTTGTACACAAATGCTAGAAGTCTAAATAATAAGATGGGAGAACTAGAGTGCCTTGTGTTAAAGGAGGATATTGATATAATAGGCATCACTGAAACCTGGTGGAGTGAGGACCATCAATGGGACACAATCATTCCGGGGTACAAAATATATTGGAAGGACAGAACACATTGTGAGGGGGGGAAGGGGACTGGCACTATATGTGAAAGAAAATGTAGAATCAAATGAAGTAAAAATCTTAAATTAATCAATATGTTCCATAGAATCTCTATGGATAATAATTCCATGCTCTAATAAGAATATAACAGTAGGGATATATTATCGACCACGTGACCAGGACAGTGATAGTGACTATGAAATGCTAAGGGAGATTAGAGAGGTTATCAAAATAAATAACTCACTAATAGTGGGGGATTTCAACTATCCCCATATTGACTGGGTACGTGACACCTCAGGATGAAATGCAGACACAAAATTTCTCAATACCTTAAATGACTGCTTCTTGGAGCAGCTGGTACAGGAACCCATAAGGGGAGAGGCAATTCTTGATTTAGTCCTGAGTGGAGCACAGGATATGGTCCAAGAGGTAACTATAACAGGACCGCTTGGAAATAGTGACCATAATATAATAACATTTAACACTCCTGTGGTGGGAAGAACGCCTCAGCAGCCCAACACTATGGCATTTAATTTCAGGAAGGGGAACTATGCAAAAATGAGGTTAGTTAAACAGAAATCGAAAGGTACAGTGACTAAAGTAAAATCCCTGCAAGCTACATGGACGCTTTTCAAAGACTTTTCAAAGAGGCCCAACTTAAATGTATACCGCAAATTAAACACTGTAAAAGAACTAAAAAAGAGCCACCGTGGCTTAACCATGTAAAAGAAGCAGTGAGAGATAAAAAGGCATCTTTTAAAAAGTGGAAGTCAAATCCTAGTGAGGTAAATAGAAAGAAGCATAAACACTGCCAAATTAAGTGTAAAAAAGTAATAAGAAAAGCCAAAAAAGAGTTGAAGAACAGCTAGCCAAAAATTCAAAAGGTAATAATAAAATGATTTTTAAGTACATCAGAAGCAGGAAGCCTGCTAAACAACCAGTGGGGCCACTGGACAATCAAGATACAAAAGGAGCACTTAAAGACGATAGTCATTGCGGAGAAACTAAATGAATTCTTTGCTTCAGTCTTCATGGCTGAGGATGTCAGGGAGATTCCCAAACCTGACCCCTCTTTTGTAGGTGACAAATCTGAGGACTTGTCACAGACTGAAGTGTCATTAGAAGAGGTTTTGGAATTAATTGACAAACTTAACAGTAATAAGTCACGAGGACCAGATGGCATTCACCCCTCAAATGTGAAATTGTGGAACTAACAACTGTGGTTTGTAACCTATTCATTAAACCAGCTTCTGTACCCAATGACTGGAAGATAGCTAATGTAACGCCAATATTTAAAAAGGGCTCTAGAGGCGATCCCAGCAATTACAGACTGGTAAGTCTAACATCAGTACCGGGCAAATTAGTTGAAACAATAATGAAGAATAAAATTGTCGGACACATAGAAGAACATAATTTGTTGGACAAAAGTCAACATGGTTTCTGTAAAGGTAAATCATGTCACTAATCTACATCTACACTGGCACGTTCTCACGCAAAAACTCTTTTGCGTAAGAGTTCTTCTGCAAAAGCTCTTCTAGAAAAGAGCGTCTACACTGGCATGTGGTTTTGTGCAAGAGATGTGCTTTTGCACAAGAGCATCCGTGCCAGAGTAGATGCTCTCTTGCGCAAGAAAACTCTGATGGCCATTTTAACTAAAGGGCTTTCTTGCGCAATAAATTCATGTTGCCTGTCTACACTGGCCTCTTCTGGAAGAGCTCTTGCGCAAGAGGGCTTATTTCTTAGCGGGAGAGTCAGAGTTCTCACGCAAGAAGCCCTGATTTTATACCTTAGAACGTCAGTTTACTTGCGCAAGAACATGCGGCCAGTGTAGACAGGCAGCAAGTTTTTGCGCGAGATTGCACCAGTGTAGACAGCCTTAGAGTTCTTTGAAGGGGTCAACAAACATGTGGACAAGGGGGATACAGTAGATATAATGTAGATTTCCAGAAAGCCTTTGACAAGGACCCTCACCAAAGGCTCTTGCGTAATTAAGTTGTCATGGGATAAGAGGGAAGATCCTTTCATTGATTGAGAACTGGTTAAAAGATAGGAAACAAAGGGTAGGAATAAACGGTACATTTTCAGAATGGAGAGGGGTAACTAGTGGTGTTCCCCAAGGGTCAATCCTAAATGTATGCGCCATGTGCCCCGGGCTGCGTGCCAGCAGTCATGGCCGGCGCGCACATGCGCCGTGTGCACCGGGGGGGAGGGTGAGCCCGTGCACCATGGGGTGGCGCGCCCACGCATGTGCCCTGTGCCTGAGGGCAGTGCTGCACGCCTGGCCCAGGATGCCAAAAGGGCTCGGGCAGGCCCTGCCACACAGTGTGCAGTCAAAAAAGCATGGATTCATAACATCAAAAGATTAAAAAAGGGACAGAGAATATTTTATTGCCCTTATATAAATCCATGGTATGCCCACATCTTGAATACTGCGTACAGATGTGGTCTCCTCATCTCGAAAAGATTAGAAAAGGTTCAGAGAAGGGCAATTAAAACAATTAGGGGTTTGGAATGGGTCCCATATGAGGAGAGATTAAAGAGACCAGGACTTTTCAGCTTGGAAAAGAGGAGACTAAGGGGGGATATGATAGAGGTCTATAAAATCATGAGTGGTGAGGAGAAAGTGAATAAGGAAAGCTTATTTACTTATTCCCATAATATAAGAACAAGGGGCCACCAAATGAAATTAATGGGCAGCAAGTTTAAAACAAGTAAAAGGAAGTTCTTCTTCACACAGCGCAGTCAACCTGTGGAACTCCTTGCCTGAGGAGGTTGTGAAGGCTAGGACTATAACAGGGTTTAAAAGAGAACTAGATAAATTCATGGAGGTTAAGTCCATAAATGGCTATTAGCCAAGATGGGTAACGAAAGGTGTCCCTAGCCTCTGTTTGTTAGAGGGTGAAGATGGACGGATGGCTTGATCATTACCTGTTCAGTTCACTCCCTCTGGGGCACCTGGTATTGGCCTCTGTCAGCAGACAGGATACTGGGCTGGGTGGACCTTTGGTCTGACCCCCTGTGGCCATTCTTATGTTCTTACTGCTATCTGGATAAAGGACTCTGGCGTCTTTGCACTGCAGAAAGATGGAACATTAAACATCTCTTTGCTGTTTTCTGCAGATCCCTCTCTGCTACCCTGCAGAGCCCGCATTTCCTTCTTAGGGGCATGAGGCAGCCCTGTACCCAGCTCGCTTCGGGCGAGCGGACGTGCATACTGTAGGAAGCAGACATGCACTAACGCAGCTGCCTGCAGCAGCGCCCTCGGTCTGCGCGTGTCCCCGAGCCAAGGCCAAAGGGGGGCCGGCCCCGCGCGGCCAGGCACAGAGTTGGAAAGCCCCACGAGACACCAGCTCCTGGACAGGACACATGCACGTGACCTCACAGCCCACGTCACAATCTGTGTGGAGCGTGTTCCAGCGGTCCCTACCCCCCCCCCTGCGAAACTTCAGAGCCAGCCCAGAGGGGGAAGTGACGTAGTGCTTGGCTCCCGGAAGTGCGCAACGGACCCGGATGCTGAGCCCGCCAGGTCCAAAGCCCCACGAGACACCAGCTCCTGGACAGGACACATGCACGTGACCTCACAGCCCACGTCACAATCTGTGTGGAGCGTGTTCCAGCGGTCCCTACCCCCCCCCCTGCGAAACTTCAGAGCCAGCCCAGAGGGGGAAGTGACGTAGTGCTTGGCTCCCGGAAGTGCGCAACGGACCCGGATGCTGAGCCCGCCAGGTCCAGCAATGTAGCCACTGTTACCGGCGCGAGGGGGGGGTGTGTCGGGGGCCGCGA